TTGGAGAGGCTTTTTTTCCGTTGAAATCCCTCCTTATTCTTTTGAAAAAACAGGCACAATAATTTTTACAAGGCAATAATTACTTTTATAAGGTGGGGTGTGTAATGAGCATTTTTAAAAAATATTGTTATCCTTAAAAGTAATTTTATTAATGGGTATTTTAATAATATAAAAAAGGTATATAAAAAGTAAAACATGTAGTGTCAATAGACGCATTCCTAATAAGTATGATTGTCATTATATATACTGTAACATTGTTAGTTAAAAAAAAAAACAGAGAGAGAAAAAACAGCAGAGGACAATAAATCACATTAGATCCAACTCGGAAAAACAAAGAAATCATGGCAGAAAGTTCGGAAAGATTTATGCAATAAGAATGGTACAGAAATTTTCTTTTTTGTTTTATGTTTTTTTCTTTTCTTGTTTTTTTTGGGAAGAATACTGCAGAATTGAACATGTATCCAATTGGATATTGTTTGAAGAACTAGGGCTAAGAATGTTTATCTGAACGAGACATATTGAGCTTTCAAAAACGGATCTAAAAGGGTAATCTTAACAAATATCTCTTAAAAGTATATGAACCAGGATTTTTACCTTTTATTCTTGATTTATGACTTTTTTAGTTAAATAATTACACTAATAAAATGATATTTATTAAAAATAAAGAGTAAAAGTCTAAACTAAATTTTTTTCTTCGATCTACAAAGGGAAATAGTAGAAAATAGACTAATATGAAAAGCTTAAGAAAGTATATAGGCTAATTTTTAGTTATAGAAATTAATAGACCATAATTTGTCAAGTTATGGTTCATAACCAGATAAGTTATTGACAAACTTGTCAAGTTATGGTTCATAGCCAGACAAGTTATGGACAATTATGAACAATAACTTGTCAAGTTATGGTTCATAACCAAATAAATTATGGACGAAAATAATAATTTAACCTATTTATTAACTTATGTAAACTATTAACCTATTAATTTTAATTTATCTACTTATTTTCCTCTTTCTCCCATCTATAAAATGTTGATTGCAAACTCAGAGACATAAGCCCAAAACTATACCCAAGAAATCATGGAATGACGATGGGCTCTTCATTGGACTGCCCCAGAATCATGACTTGGATTTTTTTTTTTTTTTTGCTCGTATGACTTGGATTGATTTATACAGTGAGAAAGAAATACAATAAATTTTTATAGAAAATATCACACCATATCATATCAATATATTTAGAAATGAAATCTATCCTTAAGGTACCGGTTGTAGTATGATCGGTGACTATTGGTTAGTGGAATTTTGGTATCATGGTAACATACTGGCCAGTGACGTCAAAGTATCCCGGTAAGATACTAGCGATCTCTGGCCGACAACTGCAAAGTATCACAATAAGTTACTAGCGGTCTTTGGCAAGCTACTTCTAGTTGCCATAGGTTTTAGTATCAGTGTGAGAACCTTTGAGTATCATGGTAGGATATTGACAATCATTGGGCGGCTATCTCCGGTTGTCAAAATTTTTAATGTCACCGGTGGGATACCTCTAAGTATCATGGTAGGATACCAAAGAATTAGCTGGCCTGCTATCGCTAGTTGCCAAAATTTTTAATATCATGATAGGATAAGTATCGGTGGTTAGAATTTTTTATATCACGATCGGAAACTTATAAGCATTATGGTAGGACACGAGACCACTTGAGGCTATTCCCAGCATTCATTTTCCAATTGATACTAATTAGTGGTATATTCTATATTTTAGTTATGGTGAGGACATTCTCTTTTAGAACTATTTCGTTAAGGCATAAATCAAGTCAAGACAAGGATTTGTTGCATTTCTATTAAGACTCCTCATGCCAGTGTATAACTTAACTTGAATTGGCCAGATTTGATGGACTTTGTGTGGCATGCCACACTGAATGTAATGGCTTGTGACCTTTTTTTCTTTTTTTCTTTTTTTTTTTGGGAGAAATTTTGAGAAAACGACAAGAAACAAGAAAACTCAGCTTTGGATTTATGCCAAGAATACTGAAGCCTTTGATTTTTGCCACACAAATGAAAATTTTCATCAATATTGTTATCAAAGCTTTTAGACTAATTAGCCCAAAAAATTTTCATAACCTTTCAACAAATACCTTA